GTTTACGTTGTCATCAATCTGTAGATCTTCTATGTATTCTTCACTTGTGGACAGGTACTTTATTTTCGCGATGTTAATATCTAGGTCAGCCTTGGTATATTCTTCTTGTAGTTTCTTCATCATGTAGCTGAGCTCGTCTTGGTCCTGTGCAATCACTACTTGATCGTCTGCGAAGCTTAACGTATATAGGTATTCGTTCCGTACCGGTACTCCCATGCCTTCCCATTTTCTTTTTCATGTAGTCAAGGCTTTCTCTAAGTATACTTAGAGATTCTCACTTTAATGGAGACTTCATTTTTTATACAGAACTTTTGTAGCTTCTATGAGTTCTGTCTGTATCTCTAATCTATACATTGCCTCCCATTGTTCTGACCTTGGTTCAGAGTAATACGCCTTTCTCAGGTCCACAAATGCCAAATGTATATCTCTATTTTTTGCTTTTTTTCCAACAGTTGTTCCAGTGTGTATATGTGGTCTATGCATGATCTTCCTGCCGTGAAGCCTGCCTGATCCTCCGCAATTTTGCCTTTTATCGCTTGTTCTATCTTTTCTCGCAGTATCTTCCTATATAATCTTCCTACTGATGATATTACGCTTATTCCTCTGTAGATTTCGCATTTCTTTGTTGCTGTTCTCCATTTATGGATATGAAAGTCAGAATAGACGGATAACTTACGAAACCTATAAGACAAGTAAATAAGACAGCTATATTGACAGACAATAAGGATTCACTAAGCAATATTCTATTTAACCTAATCATGGATGAAGCCATAAAGAGTGCCAACAAAGGAAGAGGGTACAGAATGGGGATATATCTTAGACACCTCTACATTGACATTTACATTTGCATATGACATTGTAGGCAACATTAATATAAAATTCCTGATCGGAACAGTTAAAGATTTTATATTCTTTAGTGTTAAGACACAACTCATTATTTTAATAGAAGAATTTCTCAAAGATCAAAGAAATTCTGAAAAAGAAATCACAAACACAATTCTTGTAAGAAAAGGAACATGATAATAAATTGTTTTCTATAAAGTAAGTAATAGAAAGTCAGCAGCAAGAGCTAATATAAAACATTCTATAATTGCCTATATACGATCATCGGAAAGGTATGAATAAGGAATAACCAAATAAACACCCGTAGATCAACTGACAACATGACAACAAAAGACAACTATTTTATTAACTGTAGATTTGTTGACTAAACATGACACACACTCACACATAAATGCATACCCAAATACAAGATCCTCCCAAGAAACAATAAAAAATAAGTTACCTTTCTGAGTCTACAAATAAAATAAAAATGTAGAGAAAATCTTTAAAGGGATGATCCTCAGTCCAAATTGATCTCAATGCCTCTATTAAGGGTATTAAATGCTAACCAGTACAGTAAGGGGGCTTTAGCAGAACTTATTGCTGCTGCAGTACGATCGGTGTAAAATAAACGGCTTTCATAGAAGAAAAAACAACAAAAAGTTAACGAAAGCAAACCAAAATATATGTTCGTTTGGAAATAGGAAAAAAGTACATCCAAAACATAAGGATGGAACAATATAATATTGAAAGCGTGAAAGACTTCACATATTCTGGGTTCCCTAGGCATCTCAGACATCTGAAAATCAAATACGAACCGCACACAGAATAGGCTTGTTGGCGCAGGTTACGCAACAATAAGCAGTTTTTTCTCGAATTTTCTTTTTGTAGCACATTATGCAACGCCGATGTGCAGCTTTCCTTGTTTGTGTAGGAGCATTTTTCTCTAATATATGTGTATCCTCGATGAGAAAGTAATTCTTGAGAAATCTTTGATGTGGGTAACATCTCACTTATGACAGGAGTCGAAAATCATACAACGACATTCGTGTATTGCTGCTGTATATCTTGAAACAAAAATAGGCATTTAGAAACAGTATGTGCTCTATATATTGAGAAAGAAAGAGATATTTTTTTCTTGAATTGAAAGTATGCCATCACTTGGTCAGTTTTATCTACACCGCTCATTTGTTGGTGGTATTCAAATATGGCTCAAGGTTTACGTAGTATTTCATGTCTCCTATTTGCAAATTTCACTAAGTTTCTATAAAATTCGATATAAAAGACATCACGTTTGTCTTTCCACTTTACAATCATTACATCTGCATAACGTGCAGTTTTTTGCACTATGGTTTAATTTGCCGTTTTTTATATCTGGTGGTACATTTAGTCTTCCACTATTTATAGTTCCCGTACGTGTTTGCCTCTCTAATAGCTATAAGGCTAAATCGTACGAATTTTAATCATTGTCCATGTGCAAACAATACCTTGCATCCAGTTTCTCGTTCATCAACTACATTTTTTGATAGTATGTCCTTTTCCACCTTCATTCTCAAAAAAACCAGTCTAAACAGAAAATTTTTAGATAATACCATTTGGTTCCGTTAGTGAGTAAAGTTTGATCTATTACTTGTGGCGCTTAATTTTTATGTCCTGACGAAAGACTAATCCACCACGCCATAGTACCATTGATTCGTCTTGTTATAAATGTCTACCAGGGTAATAAGTTTGATACATTTTATTATTAAAGTAATCCATAACTAAACTTATCTTGAATTGTCTATCCACAGGTTGTGGGTCGTTAGGTCTAGGATTTGTGGAAAAGTGAAGACATCCAAGAATGAAAAGAAATCTATCTCTGCTTATACTTGCAAAAAAAATTGGGCAATTAAAAATATTTTAATTGCCCCATGTGCTACATCCTTTTACTGGGCAATTCTTGTGTGCTCTGAAGGTCTGTGAGATATAAAAACGTCCGTAGCGTAAATATTCGTATAAAACATAATCATAACCTATAAGTCTTAATCTTACTGGTTACTCTAGTAGCGCGCGCTGTCTTAAAAATGTAATAAGTGGAGTATTTGAAGGATATTTTGACCAAGTAAGAGAAGTTTCCATTAGTTATAGAAAGCGACGTCATCGAAGCAGTAAACGAATTTGTATACCTAGGAGTGCTTCTTAACACTGAAAATAATACTACCACAGAGATAAACCGCAGAATTTGCACGGCCGACAGATGCTATCTTGGACTCAATATCCTCATTAAATCCACAATTATATCGAGAAATACAAAAATAAAACTCTACAAAACAATAATACGATCAGTCCTAACATATGGTTCAGAGACCTGGACTCTTAAAAAAATAATGAAAACATATTAGGATGTTTCGAAAGAACAATACTAAGGTGAATCTATTGAGCAGTGAATGACAATAGAGTGTGGACGACACAACTTTACAAAATATACCAGGAACCTGATATCGTAAAACATATTAAGATAGGACGTCTGAGGTGGATAGGGCATGTAATGCGAATGGAACAAAATGACCCAGCTAGAACACACTCCTTGATAGACTTGTTGGTCAGAAAAGAAGAGGAAGACGCAGAACAAGAATTCTTGATAACATCGATGAAGACATGAGAAATATGGGAATACGAGGTTAGGACCCACGCAGGGTTGTAAAGCCAGAATGATGACGAGGAGAAGTTTTAGTATTTTGTTGTGATATATATTCTTGAAAATCAATATCCCTTGAACTAAAATATCATTTGTCCCATTTTAAACGTTATCCATTTGTATGAAGCTCTCGATATCATCTAGTACATCATCTTCGTCGTCTGAGTCAGACCAGCTACTTTTTCATTCCTTGTCACTTACCGAGAAAGTTACATCGTTGACATAGTTGTCATGTGTTTCTATCTCTCTAGCATAAAAAGATTTTATTATTTTTGTTTCTTACCATTTCTAACAAGTTTTGGTTGAGACGGCCCTGGAATTGCTTCATCCACAATCCTTACTAATGTATCTAAACTGACGTTATAAAAACACTCTTATGTATTATAAATACTTACATACTCACTAGAAAGACAACTTGTTTCAGTCAACGTCAAACACATACTAACCTCTAAGCAAATGTTGTGCATATGACGCCTAAAGCCGTCATGCGTATTCAACAGTAATAAGGGTATGCTATTTTTAGACGTTATCAGCATTAAAAGGATTAAAGATTGTCAAACCAATGTCGATGACGAGGTTGTTATCATCAAGAGTATCGAAGGATTCTTGTTGAAACAACAAAAAACAAAGAAAAATGATTAGAGGTATCTTAAACTCTCGGTCTCGGTTGAGTGTCGAGCAATACGTAGTACTTACTATAATAGCTCATAGTTATTAGTAGAATTGAATAGATATTATTTTAGGTGGCAGTGTGACGTCCTCTAAAATTAGTAAAACTGGCATAGCTATGAAAAATATATAGCATAAGGCATTTACCTAGTTATGACATCTACATTTAAATAGATTATTATATTATAAGAAGCAATAAAAAAGTTTTTATCTAAAAATAAACTTACGATTTCTCGGGTAAATAATCATTATAACATTTGCGTGAGTATAATAAACACTTGTTTCTTGACTACTTATAAAGAACCAAAAGTGGTAATGAAAATAAATAAACATTACCACTATAAAACTTCTGAATTCTAGAACAAATAAACTAAACTTATTTAATTATAAAAACTGCATGTGGAAATTTTATGAAATATAGTAAAAATTTTATTAAAATATATTTCAAGTCCCTCTCTGTACTTATCATGATTCCTATCAGATCGGAACAAATACCCGGCTGTACATAACAATGGCGGATACCTCAGTAAACGTGTTTTATAGTATAACCAATTTGTATACTAATAAAAGCTATAATCATTTATACTTACGCCTATGCCGAGTCCTTTATGCTTTACCAAAAACCACACCCATGTCGTGTCAGCAAACAAACACAGACCCCTCCTCCATTTACCTCAATCGCAGCACTGATTGGGTACACGGCGTTCGAAGGCGTTGCCCGATTTTATGATACTATAGAGAACCAATCTACTGAAAAGAATCATTAGTCCTACAACATACGTGAGCGATTGAACACAAAACAATTCTGTATTTTACTAGTGATGATGTAAATATGGTCGTGCCTCAGGGTTCTGTCACAAAGCCGTGTATTATGGCACATACACCGCTAAAATCGTTCACGATAAACTCTATCTTACCAGAAACGGCGCTAGATGTTCGTGAAACTTCTGAGCCTGAAGATGAGTGCTGCATGAAGCAAGAGACTTTGTCGGATGCGGAAGTGAGTGATTGTGATTCGGACTTGGACGTTACCGGTACTACCCCGCCTCTGGATTGCTCTAACAAGTCGGCTGATGAAGAGGAAAGCCAAAAAGACGGTAAGTTTTTTATCTCTTAATCGTAAAGTCTCAAAAAAACTTTGAAACAAACAAAAAGATGAATTTTCAAGTTGTAGTGCTTGTAGTCATTCAATAAACTTAAAAGTTGATTACTTTCTAATAATCAAGAGATTAAGGTTTTATGAGCTTAATTAGACAAAAATGTTACCAAAATAGTTATACGTACCTATCTACTGAATTTTTGTTTGTAGTACATATACCTAGTCATCAAAAATACTACGTACCAAGTCGTCGTTGCTTGATTATTTATCTCTCGCTTAACAGGTCAACATTTTTGTCTTTTTCAACATAACCTATTTTATGCTACGTATTCGTTACTTCCATGCATCCTCATTTTTATATTCGTAGATGTTTGTTTAAATAGTCTCTCCTCATCTAATATTTTACCGTATTCTCTCTAATAGAAAGTATTTTACTAATATTGATATTTCTATGCACGTTACTGAGGTGTCTATAGATTCAATAATTATTTCTTAATTCTCTATATACCTAATTCAGAAAAATACTTACATCTATTGCTTAATTTCATAAAAGCGTTTGACAAAAAAACGAAATAAAGTTTGATGACAGCGAAAACATTAAAATATCACCAACAAACTTGGAAAAAATAAAAATAATTAAATTGATTATGAGTGACTCCCAATTAAAAATAGTAAAAGTTTATTGAAATATCGAACAAAAAATAAAATAAAAATGGAAACAAAGTAAGGCAAGGCAACTCGTTATCAACTCTATATATTTTATTAGATACCTATATAATAAAAGGTTGTAGAACAATAACAACAAAGAATAATACAAAGCAGCTGATAGAACCATAGTAGCAACCAAGAAGACAATGGTACAAATAGCAAACCCTGAACCTAAAATCCACGTTGTGTTAAAGACTTATTTTTTTCTTCTTTCAGTAGGTACCCTGTCTAAATATCGAACGTTGGCGATCATATTGGCAATAATAACTTTGTTTACAACAAGTCGAAACATATTAGCGGATGTCTCTTTACACCACTCTCGGAGATTTTGGTGCCAGGATGTTTTTTATTCAGCCTGGGCTTCTTACGGCGATTTTGCCTGGATTGTGAGGTGTAGAAGGTTATACCTACCAACATTTGTCGGTAAATCCATATCTCAAAGGCCCCAATTGTTTTCATTACTGTTTCTGTAAGAATCCAGTTCTCCATGCCATACAGCACTGTGGATAATTTGTAGCAGCGTATTGATCTGATTTTAAGATTCAATGTAATATCTCTATTAGTGATATTACATTGAATCTGTAGTCTTTAGTTGTAGTTGTAGTTGTAGTCTTTGCAGTCTTTATAGAAGGCGACTCTGACGCTTTCAACGAGTATTCTTATTTTTTTGCTCATATTCCAGTTATCGTTAATATTAGTGACCAAATAGGTGATATTGTGGACTCTTTCTAACTTTATTACACATGCTCTGATATTCTTCATTGGTTGTAACACTGTTTGGCTGACAACCACTAGTTTTGTCTGATGCTAAGTTTTAGCTCATATTCAACAAATGTTTCGGTCACTCTGTATTACATGGTTGCAACTCTTTTTCATTAAAAGCAATTAGTATCGTATCGTCTGCGTATCTGAGATTATCCCGTTGAGTTGAAGGCTTCTTTGAAAATAAATTCGGAGTATATATAAAAATAAAGGCGATAAAATACACCCTTGTCCCACTCCATGTCGTATTTCCACATCTTCCGTCGTGTTCTGACCAATTCGTATATTTGCACATTGATGCCATTACAAATTTTTGATAAAGCGGAGGTCTTCTTCAACAACTCCCACCTGTTTAAAGACACCGATTAATTTGTCGTGGGTGAGCAGTTCAAAGGCCTTTTCGAAGTTAATAAAACATATATCATCATCATCAATCAGCCAATCGCGTCCACTGCTTAACATAGGCCTCCCTCAGTTCTTTCCAGTGTTCTCTACATTGGGCCGCTTGTAGCCAGTTTCCCGCTACACGTTTAATGTCATCGGTCCATCTAGTCGGTGGTCGTCCTCGGCTTCTTTTATAATTTCTGGGCCTCCATTCCATAATACGTCTTGTCCACCGTCCATCTTGTGTTCTGGCTAAGTGCCCTGCCCAGTTCCACTTAAGCGTCGTGGTTCTTTCGATGACGTCTTGAACTCCTGATCTTCGCCTGATTTGTTGGTTTGTTATGTGGTCTCGAAGGCTCACGTTCAGCATTGCACGTTCCATGGCTCGTTGTGTAACTCTAAGTTTAGTCGCAGATTTTTGCGTGAGTGTTAAAGTCTCTGCTCCATAAGTTTGTACAGGTAAAACACATTGGTTATAAACCTTTCGCTTGAGACACATGGGAATTGAACTTTTTAGAATATGGCTTAATTTGCCAAATGCTGCCCATGTTAGACCTATTCGCCTCTGTATTTCATGTGTTTGATTGTCTCTGCTTATTTTGATTTCGTGTCCCAGATATTTGTAAGTGTCTGTTTGTTGTATGGTATTATTGTCAATAGTTATATTTCCACTCATTACGAGATTTGTTATAATTTTAGTTTTCTCAAAGTTTATCTTTAATCCTGCTCTTTCAGACAGACTTTTAAGCGAATGCATCATAGAAACTGTATCATGTAAGTTATCTGCGATTAATACAACATCATCTGCAAACCTTAGGTGATTTAATCTTTCTCCATCTATATTGATGCCTATATCTTGCCATTGAGTACCCTTAAATATTGACTCTAGAGCTGCCGTGAGCAATTTTGGTGAAATATTGTCTCCTTGTCTAACTCCTCGACCTAAGCTGAATTTTTCTGTGTCTTCGTGCAGTCGTATACTTGATGTAGCGTTCTGATAGATGTTTTTGATTAGTGTCGTGTACCTGTAATCTATTCGGCTTTGATTTAGGGCTTCCAGTATTGTTTTAAACTCTACAGAATCAAAAGCCTTCTCGTAATCGACAAATGCAAGAACCAGTGGTATGTTGTACTCGATGCACTTTTCTATTAAGATCTTTATGGTATGCAAATGGTCATTTGTGCCATATCCTGCCCTAAAGCCTGCCTGTTCTTTGGGCTGATAGAAATCAAGTTTAGGTGTTAGCCTCTTTGTTAAGATTTTCATAAAGAGTTTGTACATATGTGTCAAGAGGCTGATGGGTCTATAATTTTCTAATTTAGTAATATCGCCTTTTTTGTGTAACAAGACTATTACTGCATTGTTCCAGTCTTTTGGAATCGTACCCGCATGTAAGCATTTAGTAAACAGTTCGCTTACTGATTTTAATAAAATTTCTCCACCTGCTTTTATTGCCTCGATAACGAGTCCATCATCACCAGGCGATCGATGGTTCTTCATTTCCTTTAAAGCTGCTCTTACTTCTGACACAGTAATGGGTAAAAGTATTTCCGATCCCTGATTTATGAGAGTCTTTACCTGTGTCGGGAAATTGTCTTGTGGTCTTTGGCTGGTATAGAGGTCTTTATAAAATTCTCTAGTTATTTTCAGAATGTTTTGTTTATCAGTTGTTGCCTTTCCGTCTTTATCTCTCAGCTTGTATATTTCTTTTTACTTTGCGTAAGTTTTCTTAAATATACCGGGTTATAACATATATACCGGTAAAACATATATATATATATATATATATATATATATATATATATATATATATATATATATATATATATATATATATATGTATATAAAAATAAAACATATATACCGGGTTTTATATATCCCGACATCTATGAACCATGACCTGCAAACTGAATAATGCTTATCTGGTTCCAAGGTTCTTTTTGAAATCAAACTATGTTTCGCTTGTTGTAGATTCTCAAGTGCAAACATTTTCAATACGTGGCTCATCAGACTGACTGTGCGATGATCGTTATATTATTTAGCGTTTATTTATTTATTTTTTTGGTATTATTACAAATGTTGACAGCAGCCAGTCTGTTGGTACATGCCCTGTTTCGTATATTTTATTTAAGAGGTTTAGAAGAATATGTTTGCTTTATCGTCGAGAAGTTTGATTAATTCGCTGGGGATTTCATCTGGACCGGTTGCTTTTCTATTATTTGATGGTTTTATAGCTTTTTCCATTTCGTCAAAGGTTTTGTTTGGACTAGTCGATCTATTTTCGATGTGAATTTCTATTCTTTCGTCATCAAACAGTTCCTCAATATATTTCTTCTATCAAGTAAACTAATTATTGCAGTTGACCTATATGGTAGAGTTATTTCTTGCACATTTTCTGTGCTTCATATTTAATGACATCTGCTGCTGTACAATTTCTCTTTTTCATCCCAGAAGTTTTCCTTCTGATTTCTTTATTGATTTTGTTGTATTCTTCAGTGTTTTTATTTGTCTGTTTTAGTCTGTTTTGAATTATTCCCAACATTTCATCAGTCATTCAGTTTTGTATATGTAGTTTTATACTTTTTCATTGTTTCTTGCATTATGATTTTGATCTAATTCCAGTGTCTTCGACGTTATGTGTTTCTTCCGATCTTTTGGACTTCTTTCTTATCTCGTGTATAATAAATGTCTTGGCTATTATCTCGAATATAGTCAGGGTAATAAACCTGATTAGTCATTAATAAGTAATATAGTAATAAGTTATGATCTGAGGGGACATCTGCTACAGGTAGTGTTTTAGTTATCTTGATTTAATTTCGGTATCTTTTAGTAATTGTTATATAATTGATCTGATTTTGTATACTCCTATCTTTAGTATCTGCTGGTGACTTCCAAGTGTATAAACAACGCTTGGGTAGTTTCAAGATTGTATTTGTCACAAATAAATTGTTCCCTACGCAGGATTGTAAAAAACGATCTCCTCTGTCATTACGTTGTTCAATTCCGAAGTTGTCTACACTGTTTTCTTGTCTACCTTTTCCTACTTTGGCATTGAAGTCCACTACCCTTTTTTTATCATCATAAAATTTTTCTATGTCATCTTGACTACTGCTATGGCTGTGGGCGCATACATTTGGACCATA